GGTGTGTAGGTATTTATCCAAACGCCATAGGAAAAAATATGGTTAAGACACCACAATCAAATGGTACTTGTGATGATTGGCACAGTTATTATTTATGTTTGTGTTCGTCATTGCCTGTGTTTTCATTCAAGAACTTTCAAGCAGAAGAAGAAGCAGCACTGGACACTATGCTCAACTGTCGCTGTAAGGAGAAAAAATATTGCAGCTAAGAGGGGTGAGAGTCGGAACAAATGCATCAGGAGCAGGACACTGTTACGTCAAGGTGGTTAATGGTATAAAGAAAGAAAAAACAAAACAATGTGACCACAAACACACAAAAGTCCTTGATCACATGAACTGTTTCATTCATCCCTGTCTCCATGCGTATGTTCTATGAGACTGTCGAAGAATAGAGTATCCAGTTTCCAGGACTAATGTTTGTGAAAATTCCAGGCACACAGACCAGCCAGAGGCTACAGAAATCGAGTCGGTCTGTGCCATGATTCATAGGTGTTATGAGTTTGTGGTGTCTAATACTATATTAAGCTCCAAAACACATCCTCACATGAACACAATATCATTGGTTAATCTAATAAAACATGGTTTGAGTTGTCTATTATTACAAGGGTGGGTATTTGCCTATTTAAGGCCAAGGTTTCCCAACTGCTAATGCATGTGCTCAGTGGTTATTATAAGGGTGGGTATGTGCTTATTTTAGGAGAAAAAAAACAAAATTGAATAAGCAATAAAGTGTCATAACTTTACGGGTAAATGGGTATCATTCTTCAAAAGGTGGGTTTTGTTGTAGGGCAGGTACTGTTAAAATAGGGTAGATTCAAGATGTACGGGTTTATAATGTTTGTTTTATGACATAAGTCAAAGGGTGGTTTGTAATGGTATTTATTAATTAATGACTTTTTGTCATAAAAAAGCATAATGAGCTTAATGCTTTAGACGCACCACTAGATGTCAGTAAAGCATATTTAGTGTAATGCTTTGGGGCACCACTAGGGGGAGTGTGTAGGAAGACCTGTGCTTCTGGCAGTGACATCACAGGCCAGCCTACTTACACTGAATAAAGCCCAGATGTGAGGAGAAGCTAGCTCTCTGTTTGCCTGTACCTGACTGATCATGTAGCACCAGCTCTGACTTAGCCCCAGCCCTTTGGCTGGGGCCTTGTAAGTAATATGATAGCAATTGTAATAGCCTTTTGTGTAACATGTAGCAACCTTTTGTAAGTAATATGTTGTAGTTTTGTATTGTATCATAATTGTAGTAAATTGACATTCCGCTAGCATCTGTTTATTTATTATAGTTATATTAAATATACATTTAATATTACAACGTTTTGTGTATTTTCTATCCACATATTCGACCATAATACCATGAATTATAAAAATATTAATGTTGTTCCGTATTGCTTAATTATTATGTATTAAGAGATTAATATTCATATTTAGGTCACACCACAACACATTGCGTAATTTATCTTTAAATGTGGAATCATTAAACAACTGTTCATTTAATCTCCATGGGCTTTTATCTTTGTATTGATATGAATCTGAGAGGGTAATTATCACTGGGTTATGATCTGACTCTGTTGTAACACCGATCACACAACTCTTAACCTGATCCAAATGTGTACTAAGCATAAAATATCCATCTATACGCGAATAGGTATTATGCACTTGTGAGTGATGTGTGTATTCTCGGTCTTCTGGATGGGTCGTTCTCCATATGTCATATAGACCATACAAAGCTAATGTTTTGTTAAGAGAGGTACATTGCTTTTGCAGGGATTTTCCCCTTTTATGTGTATGTAGAGCTGTCGAGTCTGCGTTAGGGTCCATTATATGGTTAAAATCTCCACATATTATTAGAATACCTGTTTGAACTTTCTCAATTTTTTCTAAAAGGGTTGACATATAGCTTGCCTGGTTTTTGTTTGGGAAGTAACAATTGACTATTGTATAAGTAGTATTATTTAATATACAGATAAGAATAATAAATCTGCCTTGCGGGTCTAATTGGACAGATATTTGATCGAAAGCCAATGCTTGACTCACCAATATCGAAACTCCTTTGCTTTTAGTTGGAGATGTAGCGTGGTATTGATGCGGAAAATTTTGTAGGATTAGAACTATGTTTAAAATGTGTCTCTTGAAGACAGATTATGTCTGCTTGTAGGCTACGTAGTTCTTTCAATAGGGCATATCGCTTATGAGGTATATTTAAACCTCTGACATTATGTGTATAGAATTTCATTATGCTTATATTCACTATAAACAATTGACTTGTTTAACAATGCTAGCCAAAATATCAATGCGCAAAAAAAAAAAAAAAAGAGGGGGGAAAAAGACCCAATTGGTCAACTATATTGATATGTGCCCTATTATTGGCACTTCTTCACTGGGGGAAAATATAAACGGATCCGGCTTTGCAATAGGCAGTCCGGGCCAGATACATTCGCTAAGTTCTCACTGTAAATATCACAATGAAAAAATAAGGAAATGAGGAAATGAAAGAGAGAGGGAAGGGAAAAAAAAAAAAGGGGAGGGAAGAACCGAAAAACAAAAACGCACCACAACAGCCTTCCCAGCACCCTATTTTAGTGCTAATTGTAATTTTCCAAAGACAATGTAGTAAACTGGTATATCACATGCATTATAATACATTACAATGCAGTAGCATACATTAGTTAATATACCTTAAAGCATCTTGTTCCATAGTCAAGGTCTTATAAAACACTAAGCTGTAATGCGCTCTTATTCTTTAATGAAGGTTATTCTATATTGAATTATAAAGATATACCCTATTTAATTCCTTTTTTTTTTATTTAAAGTAAGTAGCTTTAATAGTTAATTATGATATTATTGCTTACTGCCTCTGAATACTTGTAAAGTATTTCTATCCATAGTAATAATTTAACATCCAGATATCTTATCTCCTATAATCTTAAAAAAAAAAAAAAAAGGGGGGGGGAAAGGAGGGGGGAGAGGGAGCTAAGGATTGTGGGCAGGAATTATACATAAACTTCCTATTTAATGATTATCAGCCTTTTAATAAGACTTTAAATGTAAAGGAGGTTTGTTCTTCAATGTTTAATGGTAGTTATACTTCTTTACTTAGTGAATTCTAACATTATTCCAGAAATAGTGTGATTCAATTTGCTTCCACTGAGCTCCTACTTTTGCTTTTGAACTTATGATTTTAACATTTTTAATCATATATGCCCCTTTATATATAATCATAGTCATAATATAATTTAACTTATAATGCATTGAATTTTACCATATCTCTATCTTATGGTTCAAATTATTCTTTATTTTTTGTAATTTTTATTTTAATGTTAATAATGTATCCAGTCTATCTAGATATTTATTTTACTGAAATTCTTTTAATTTAAATTAAATAACATCCTAATAATTAATTGTTACTTTGCTGAACATCCCTCAACAATATGTTAACGTTTCAAAACCAAATATGGCTATATCCAGTCTCTAATAATATTATTTTTAATCTTATCTCTATTATCTTTATTGCTGTTTAAAAATACATATATATAATTGTTTATACAGGATTACTGTTTCTGTTCATACCTAAGATAAAGCAGAATAACTTATGTCCAGATAGAATAACCCAAATATACTCAAATACCTTGGAAAATATCTCAGAATACATATTCCAAACCCGTAAGTTCGACTTATTCGACTTACTCCTAAACTTATGTATCTAGTGACTTATCACATATAGCCTATGTTTGATATTTTGATCTTCCTCTCTTCCTTACTCCTTCTTTCCTATTCCCCTCCCCCTCCACTTCCTCTCCCCTCCCCTTCCTCTCACTTATTTTTTTACAAATTATTTTACTCTTATTAACACATACTATATACATTATATACTTTTCCTCTTTCGTTTCTCATTTTTTCTCTCCTTCGTTTATCAAACCATACTCTTTAGTTTGAAGAAAAAAAATAATAATGATAGTAGTCTCAAACCCTTGTTGTGTCACCAGAGTCACCAAAGTCTCCCGAGTCACCAGAATCGCCATTCTCCTGTCTCCCATCAAGATATACAGGGAGGAGAAAAAAATGGAAAAAAGAAAATAAAAAATAAAAAATAAAAAATAAAAATAAAAAAGGGGAAAAAAGAGGAAAAAACTGAAAACCATTGGCGTATTCTGCATCCTCCTGTTCCTCGTGTTTTCATCTTGTTTTCCTCCCATTTTCCATATATTAGCCAAGTGTTAGCCGGAAATCCTTAATGACTTAATGACTAATCGTCAGATGGGGGGTCTGGAGTTAAACCCCATTCTTGTAGGAGCCTGGAGCCTTCTGTTGGGGAAGACACAGCATTAAACTTTCCGTCTCTGGTAATAAACAATTTTGCTGGGTACCCCCATTTATATCTCATATCGTTAGTCCGTAGTATCTCTATAATATCTTTAAAGGATCTTCTAAATCTTAAGGTATCTGATGACAAATCTGCGAATAAGAGGACTTCTTTATACTTCTCTGGTCGATTTTCTTTTGCTCTATAAGCCCTCATTATTTGTTCCTTCGCATGATAATAATGCACTCTCAGGAGTACATCTCTTGGGCTGGAGGTCGGCAGGAATTGAGATCTAATTAATCTGTGTATACGATCCAATAAAAACATATCTTGTGATAAATCCGGTAGCACAGATTGGAATAGCTCTAACATGAAAGTCCCGAGCTCCTGCGACCCCACCTCTTCTGGGATTCCTCACACTTTAATATTATTTCTGCGAGATCTATCTTCAAAATCCATGAGTTTGGAGTCCTGCAGTAACATTTTATATTCCAATACACTTATACGAGATTTTAAACCTTCATAGGCTCCAGAGACCTCCTCTACCTTTGTTTCTAAGTGTATAGTCCTTGTATCTAATTTAATCAGATCCTCTCTTAAATCTGCAATGGCAGTTGCAACTGCAGTCTGCATTTGAATAACTGCTTTATCTAACATTTCCTGTAACAGCTTCGGTGTGAGGAGGGCCTCTACTTTTTTAGCAGGAGCAAGAGCAGGGGCAGGAGCAGCTTAGGATCTATATCTGTATCTGAGATTGTATCACCTTCTGTCTCAGCGTCTGCTCCATGTTGAACTCCTGTATCAGTAAGCTTACTTTGTGTTGTCCGGGCTGTGAAGAAGGCCCCGTTGTCTTTCACCTCCTTAACTTCTGTCGGCTTTCTTGAGCGATTCGGAGACATCACAGGTCTCCTTAGTTCCCTCTGGTTCGAGGGGAACTTAAAGTGCTTCTAGCCCCTTTGCTCTTACTTCTGCTTTCCGTTTTTTCACTTTTTCACTTTTCCGTCTTGCGCCCTTATCTTGCGCTCTTGCCCCTCGCCTTGCGTCCTCCTCCACCTTCTATCTCCACCGTGTCTCCACCGTGTCTCCATCTCCGTCTCTCTCCGTCTCCGTCTCCGTCTCTCTCATTTTTTTTTACAGTCACCACCTCTGCCTCTGCCTCCTTGCTCCAATCGCCGCTATCACTATCAGCCTCCACTCCAATCACCTACTTTTTCTTTCTACTTCTCTCTCTCCACCTCCGCTCTTCTGTATGCTTCTCCTCCTGTATCCTCCTGTATGCTCGAGGATGCTCGTTCACCCGTTTACAGGTCTCTTCTCTGCTCATATAATAGGAGTAGTATGAGTAGTATGAGTAACCGCACAAGTGAAAACACAATTTTTTCCAATCGTTTTCCAAATGGCCCGGGTCTGCACGCTCGCACACTAAGCTGCCATAGCTTCCTGCTTCCGGGTTCCGGTCACGCCCCCACTGGCCTTTTACTATTTGACATAAGAACATCTTTAAAATAAGAATTTGAAAATTGTACTAAGACGTCTCTTGCGAGTTGTCCATAAATTGTCTTGAATCATGATTAAATCTTTTGATTAGGTATATTTCAAGGTGTAATTGGGTTGTTAGGGAATTGAATAGGTTCTGCAAGTATGTGCCCAATTGAACTTGAGTAAACTCTAAGATTCTTTTTTCTAGACCTGTCTTCAAGGTTTGTAGCTTTTATCTCTAAATATTCAATTTTTGTTTATTCATCTGTTAAATCATTACTTGTAGAGAATTATATTCAGCTTGAATTTTATCCAGTGTTGCAGCTTGGGCAGTGAGTGCAGTAGAAAGTTGACCAATTTCTTTCTTCAAATCATGGATATTATATTTGAAATCTTGTTTTAATTCTTAAAATGACATAAATCTAACATTTCAGAGATACCCTGTCATGAACAGTGGCGTAACTACCACAGTTGCAGGGGTCGCAATGGCAACCAGGTGTCACATCCTGTCTTGCTCTGCAGAGATGTCTGGTTTCTTTTTACAATTCTTGTTTAGTTTTTCTTGTTTTTTCTGGTTTTCTATTCTGTGTCTGATTTTCTTTATGCTGGGTTTTCTGGGTTAATTTTTTAATTTCGTTCCTGGAATGCCCAGTTTCCTGGATTCCTTTAATTGTTTGTTTTATGTTGCCACACCCTTTCCTTTTCCATTAATCCTTTTGTTTCAGTTGGTTCCTGCAGGTAGTTGTTTTGTGTCATCTGCCCCTTTCTTTGCAGGTAAATACTATGTGTATTTTATTGTTTATTTAGGCAGGGAAGCTGTAACCAACACCTCCAATCTCATCTCATTGATTGGACTCCAGTTGGCTGACATCTCACTCCAATTAGCTCTTGGAGATGTCATTAGTCTAGGGGTTCACATATTTTTTCCACCTGCACTGTGAATGTTTACGTGGTGTGTTCAATAAAAACATGGCAACATTTCATTCTTTGTGTGTTATTAGTTTAAGCAGACTGTGATTGTCTGTTGTTGTGACTTAGATGATGATCAGATCATACAGAGACATACATACATACATACATACATGGCTACAGAGACATACATACATACCCTTCCAGTGCTGTAATGACCTGTGTTGACGATGTGCTCCCTACTCTGCAACTAGTGCATGTTAAGTGCTGATGACTTGTTCCAGGATTATGACCCCTGGCCTGCAGCTGGTGCCCGGGTTATGGCTCGGTGAGTAGCTCTCCCTGTCCCCTGTATGAGTGGGGGGCACCCAGCTGGTGTATTACAGTAATACAGGTTAATGTAAATTATGGGAGACCTCTGACACCTTCACAATGGAACATATTCTATTATTGGTTCTAGCACAAAATCAACAATCACGGAGGGGGCACCAAGCTGGTGGGCAGTGTCCAGTCAGTGCCTGTACTCCGGGGAGTGGTACCCACCAGGCACACTGTCAGTAGCCAGCAGCCAGGCACTGGATCAACCTTAATCTTGTTGTATTCACACCATGCTAGAATGATGATTATCTACTACCTGTGTTACAGGTTCAGGTGCCCCATTCACATGCATACTAATCCAAATGACCTTGCCTTGGAGATGGCCCTATTCAAGTAGCAGGTAAAAGACATTGCTAAGGGACCAATTGACTCATTGTATGCATTCATTCTAATCTTTCAGGATTGAGTCCTTGGTCATTTGGTGTAATGAAAAGATAGAATGGGATTGCTTTTCATAATGTAGTATGTGAGGGTTTAGTTGAAAACAATGACACATAGTAATCTCAGCACAAATCCTGAAGGAAGCTTCCTGAAAACTTGGGTTATAGATGTGTACAAACATATATCTACCATTGCACTCATTCATATTTACTAGCTAGCAAACCTACCTTCTTTATAGTCAAATATGACACACACATTTGCAGACTATACAGGAAGAAACAATAGATCTAGAGATCTTTTGTCTGATAATACAGCAAATAAGGATATCTCCCAGATTTGGACACCTGATTTCTTGTTCAAAGAATTGGAAAAGAATTATGAGAAAGAAATTAATAATTGGTAAGATCTTATCTTTTTGGAACAATATGAATAAAAAAATATTATACCGAGAGGCTTAAGAATGAACAAAAAAATCTATATTTATGTTAGATCAGTACCAAACTGAATGGGATGAGGCTCTGGAACTATGTTCACAAACGTTTATTAAAATTATCATTAAACATAGAGAGAATAAGGTGAATTTATACCAGAAAAAAAATAGAAGAGCTACAGGAGAAACTCGAAGTATATAAAGAGGACACACGCAGTATAGAAATTAAGAACAAAGTAATTAAAAGAGTGGAGAAGATTGAAATGGATATACAACAACGAAAACAAAATACATTTATACATGATCAAAATGATAATGACCAAAATAAAAAACTTATACCACAATCTAGACCTCTTGGAACAAAGTTTAGGACATATAGGAATGTAAACAAACACTATAAAGGACCACAAAGTTCTGCAAGACAGAGAGGAACTCCAGAATCATTTGACAAAACCAGACTACATCACAAACACAAAGAGAGGGACAACTATCCAGTTAGGAACTTCCACCCAGTAGGAGCGATCCCAAAAAGAAGGAACAGCAGAGGATCAGGGACATGTGATACTCCCTCTTTTTTAGGGGAACATCGAAAGGAGATAAAAAAGTTACCTGCGCTCTCTCCTTAATCCCTATTAATCTAAAACATTGACTTGCTCCTTACTAATATCATAGGATAAATTAATATTAAAAGAATTGATATTTAAAGAAACAATAAATTCTTCCAAAGTTTCCTTAATCCCTTTCCATATAATAAAAATGTCATCTATATAGCGTTTATAGAGGACCAGATTTGCCCCAATGTCGACTCTGGAAAAAATAAATTGTTCTTCCTAGAAGGACATAAATAAATTAGCATAACTTGGGGCAAATCTGGTCCCCATCGCTGTTCCTTGAATTTGGAGGACAAATTCACTCTCAAACCAAAAAAAATTGTTTTTCAAAATAAAATCTATTCCCCTCACTAAAAACTCAATTTGGAGAGTATTCATGTCTCCAGCTTTCTTTAAATAAAAATCCACTGCTTTACATCCTTGTTCGTGTTTAATAATTGTATATAAACTCTTTACGTCAAAATAGGAAAGGAAATAGAATTAAAAGAAAAAGAAAAAAAGAGGAGAAATGAAACCTTTTGTAGGACGTAAAGGACCAAAGAGGTCTAGAGAATTTTGGAGTTTTTAATTTATCGGAAACATTTTTAACAGAAGCACATTTTTAATAAAGGTTTAAAGTTTGCTCAAAGCCATAATCTGGACAAATTCGAATCATTTTTAGATATTAATAAATTTTTACGAAAATTGTGTTTAAAGAAGTTTTTTAGTAACAGATTAGAACCTAAAAAAAATCCATTAGAGAATAATAGTATTTTTACCCATACTCCTTTAAAGATTAAATCCTCCTTCTATCCGGTTGGTTATAAATCAGATGTAATGAAAACATTTGAACGATAATGCTCTAGAGACATTAAGAAAATCAAAACTATTAATAAATATCAAGAAAATTTAACACAAGAAGAAAAAAGAGCATTGAAAGATTTTAAAAAATGAGAAGTCAATAATTATAAAACCTGCGGATAAAGGAGGTGGAATAGTGGTATGGCAAAAAGAAAAATATTTAGGTGAAATTTTTAAACAACTTGAGGATGAACAAACATATAAAAAACTCTCAAATAATCCTCTCCCCGATATTAAATTAAAATATAAGGAATATTTAGATGAAGGTCTGAGTTTAGGGATCTTAACGAAAACAGAATATGAATTTCTAAACGTTAAGTATCCAAGGATCCCGGTAATTTATGTACTACCTAAGGTACATAAGGATGAGATTAATCCTCCAGGGCAGACCTATAGTATCTGGTATTGGTTCACTGTTACATAGTTACATAGCTGAAAAGAGACTTGCGTCCATCAAGTTCAGCCTTCCTCACAAATGTTGTTGCTGTTGATCCAAAAGAAGGCAAAAAACCTGGTCTGAAGCGCTTCCAATTTTGCAACAAACTAGGAAAAAATTCCTTCTTGACCCCAAAATAGCATTCAGATGTCTCCTTGGATCAAGCAGCTATTACCCCACTAATTAGAAATTATATCCCTGTATGTTATGTTTTTGTAAGTATTTATCCAATTTCAGTTTAAACATCTGTATGGACTCTGACAAAACCACCTCTTAAGGCAGAGAATTCCATATCCTTATTGTTCTTACTGTAAAAAAACCTTTTCTTTGCCTTAGATGAAATCTCCTTTCTTCCAGCCTAAATGTGTGACCTCTTGTCCTACGTATAGCCCTGTTTATGAATAGATTTCCAGATAAAGGTTTGTACTGGCCCCG